ATCCATCCATCCATCCATCCATCCATCCATCCATCCATCCATCCATCCATCTATCTATCTTCTCAGTGAAATGAGATTTGAACAGTTTAGATTTGTACAACTGACACAACCAGCTTTCTTAGACCTGAAAAACAACATGTAGCATAATGATTAATGATTCTGGTCTTTGCCAGCAGAACACAGTACCTGCAGCCAGGTTGAAAGTTCTTCCCTTTATGTCGCTTTGAACAGGAGAGAACCAGTTTAGGACAGAGCCCACCAAAGGAAGCTGCCTGAGCATCCCCTGAAACACACAGGCACAAACAAGCCGATCTCTGAATGGATTCTGTATTCATCTCAGTGGACTACGACTATTTAACGCAACGGCTGTTGCTGCATTGAATGTGTGTGTGGGTAGAAACAACCAGAGGAACCCACCTCCTCCATGAGTTTGTCCTCACTGGCCTTTTGGAGCTGCAGCTCTGCTTCCAGGATGCCTTTCCGCACCACCTCCGTCATGTTCTCCATCAGCTGCCCATGCAAACGTTCCAGGTGTAACATATCCAGACAAAAAGGGACAATGAAAGCCCAATGAGGATGGCTCACAATCAATAAAGAAGGATCAATAAGAGAAACTATAAAGTCCTATTTGACTGGTCCACTTATTAGTTGATACGTTCTGGGTCAATCAAAGTTCTGATTGGTCGACCACTTCTACTCTTAGTTTCATCCTGTCTGGTTAAATCCACCAGAAGGAAAGTACCAAGTTCTAACGGGGGTGTTCGGAGCAGCCCCGTTTCACAGGTAACAGCTGTCTTCAGAGAACTCCCCCCTCGTTTTTTACTGTTTTGGATCAGCCCACCTCACTAGAGACATGTCCAAAGGTTTGCTGTCCAAAAATGGACTACAAACATGTCATATAATTCAAAATCGATGTTTGATTTTATTTTTTTCATGCGTAAAGGGGTCTGTGCCTCCGTGTTTGTAGGCTATTGTTTTGAGCCTATGCTTTACTTTCCAGGAATGCACATTACCAACTCGTTTGTACTTGTTTGATAAACCAATTAGTCGATTCTCAGTCAAAATTTCAGGGTTTCAGTCGACCAAGAATCTGTTTGGTTGATTACATCCCTAAGAGAAAGATACCTTCTTAATCCAACATCAAATCCCTGCCTGTGAAAAAGAGCTACTGCAGCCTCGTGTCACCTCTCTGTTCGATTAAGTAAGAATAAATGTGTGACCTTCTTATTCTAGTCAGATATTTGTTTCTATCTTTCTGTCAGGGACCAGTTCTGCATTGTGCATCCATTTAATTTGTGTTCTTCTTGTTTTGTCCTCAAATCTCAAAACCCTTTTTTAAAAGAGATTTTGTTTTCCATTTGATTTAACTTTATTTCTCAAGCTTGTTTTTAAGCTGATAAGACTGTGGAAGATGTGAAAACATTATGTTTTGTATGTTATCCAGAAAAAAAGGCTGACAATTGACTAAACTAAATTACTTTGAGAGATACTGTTTCAAACAGTTTCATTACTTAAAACAAAGCACTGAAGTACTGAAAAGATTTAGACCACAAGGTAAGAATTGGAGGAAAAGCCGACTGTCACTTAGCACTCATTCAAACAAAGCTTTGTTAGTCGAGGATCTATCGAAATGAATAAAGCCATTACCCTTCCATTCTCTTCTATTTCCCTCCCCATGGCAGCGATGGTTTCAACCAGCTCGTACACGTCCACGTCTTCAGACACCATCCCCACGAACACGCAGCCCTCCTCCGTCACAAACTCTGGGCCTGGGATGAGATCCCCACAGGTTTAGTGTGTAATGCAATGCAATTAAACCCTAATAAATTTATTTATTCATTTATCTAACCTACTTTTTTAGGTTACTTGTAGATTAGTGGACATATTTCTCAAATTTGTCAGTTTGCATCCATTGGACAAGGGTCCAATTTCCCTTATTAACAGTACATTCTTATTTCCAGTCCTCTAATAAAATAATATCAGCATGGGAGCTGGTTGTTTAATGTGAAACTCAGGGGAAAGATTTAAAAGAAAAATAAACAAATCTCTAAATTGTCTTAAAGGGATACTATATTGCTGAAGTATATGTTATAAATTGAGGTATAAAAATGGTTGCCGATGGATAATAATGTGAGCGAGCGTCTGCCAACCAACCGGTGGAGAAAGTGATGTCAGTGTCCAGGTCTTGCAGTTTCTTGAGCAGCTCGTAGTTAATTTTCTCCATCTCCTGCTTCCTCCTGCTCTCATCCAGTCCTTCAGCCTGCGGCTCGTACCTGGGCAGGGACAAATCAAACCCAGGTGATTAGAAACTCCAGCTCAGTATTAAGCAGATCCAACCCAGACAATCCTCTACTGAAAGAGACAGTCCACAGACAAGGTTACCGATTACAATGGATTATTTGGGGTTTTTTCTTATTTACTTAACATGTAGGATGCCAAAAATGAGTTTTATAATCACTCTCCATATTCCTAAGTGATCACAAAGGGCTTCAAACTTCTATCTTCCAGCAGAAAAGCTGTATTCTGAAACTTCCTGAAGTTTAAGGTTTTTATATTTTTTTCAAATGGATCAATTCTGCTCTGAATTCAAAAGTCGAAGCCAAGACGATGATGGACAGATGCATCATCTTTACCTGACGGCTCCCAGACCAGGCCAGCTGAGCTCCTCTATGAATGTGAGCGAGGGTGAGCGGCGGTGGACCTCCTCTCTGAAATCCGGCCGCAGGCTAATGGTGGAGGTCATCAGAGGCACCAGCTCGAAGAGCTTCTCAACCATGTCCTCCACGTCCTCCTCCTGTGTGCCCAGACCTGAATGGGAAAGGAAAAGGCCACAGTCACTCTGTTCGTTAATGTCGTGAAGCATTTTCAGGGAGCTGCTGAATGTGTGCAGAGAACAGGCCGTTTGTGTGTTTACCCGCGGCCGTCAGAAGGGGGCTGAAGCGGATACAAGTCCCCTCGTCGTCAAGCTCCACCACGTCCACTCCACTGCTGGGCACCAGCTGGGCCAGCTGCTCACCAAGCTATAGCCACCAAAAACAAAAGACACTATGTCAGCAGGTCTATTACAAAAAAAAGAAAAAAAAGAGAGCAGATCTATTGGAAGCTTTCCATTTTTAATCCAATATAATCAAGTAAAAAGAAGATGAGTCAGGATTGACGCTTTTGTCAATATTGTCTGAAAAGCTGACATTAAAAAAAAAACCTTACTGATAAACAGAAGTACTAAACTAAATTAATTAATTAATTATGGAACTCGGACAGTTCTCCTCCCATTTTACAGCATCTTTCCTCGTCCTTGTGAACAATAAAAAAAAAAAGAGCTTTTCCACTTATTTGTTTCTTAGTATTCAAATTTAAATACAGGCTTTTTGTTTTTCTTTTTCAATGCTTAACATACAAAGTTTTGGAAGATACAAAAAAAATCAATAAGAAGATGGAAATTCTACTCACCCATCTGTTGAAGGTATTAAGCACCTCTTTCTCTCCAGCACAGAAGCCGTCCAGTGAACCCCCACTCGATTCTTATGAGAGGGGAAAATAAGGACACAAGTCAAACAAACAAACAAAAATAAAGGGAAACCATAGATCTATACTGAAAATGAATTCTCTTTTTACCTGCAGAAAAAAATTCTCCAACACTAAAATGTTACAACCTCACAGACATAATATAATAAACCCAAAGGACGCTTTGGGGAAAAAGTGCAACAGTCTCAACATGATGAACGTTTAAATTCTTATGTCCATGAACACCTCCACTGACAGGATTACCTGTTATATGGAATAAAATGGCATGTCAGCATCTAAAGGATAAAAACTAAACTCGAACTGGGGAAAAACACTGATGAACTATACATTTTTGTCAATCAAAACACACTTAAAAGCATCTTAAAGTGGTTCTGATTGTGACTCTTGGCTCAGATTACCAGCACTGGTTTCTTGGGAGAACTTGAACAGCACCACGGGAGAGTTGAGCTCATCTTCCACCTGTGGGACACACAAACCCACACATCAGCCATGTGAGGGAGGGCAGTGGCTTCCACACCTGTCACCCGACCCACTGAGAAACATGCAGAATGTCTGTGGCTGGAGGGGGGCGAGGGGAAAATGTAGACGGGGTTTTGTGTCAAAGCCTACTAACGTCTCTGCATGGCGTGTCCGGAGGAAGCCTGTCCAGAAGGTTTTGTTTGAGCGGGCACACTGCTCTGTTTGTCTTGGCTGACAATTATTCGAATCTAAAAATATTTTCTTGTTCAAAGCCGTCAACCAATACCACAGGACTTGAGAAATTAATATATAAAATTGTCGAAAGCAGGTCTACCGCAATTCCTCACTTATCGCAGTTGTTATGTTCCGGGACCACTCGCGAAGTAGGAACGCCGTATTTACTTTAGTATCTATATAATATTTCAGTAGTGACACACTATTTTAAGTTTTAGAAACCATCCCGACACAATTAAAACACTAACTTCGCACGGAAGGCGAGCGGTAACAAGATGTGACGGTTACCGAGCCAATCAGCGACGCCTCTACAGAGTAGCATACTCAGTCAACCAATCAGGTGTTGCGTACAATCTCACGTCGGCAAGTAGCGTCTCAAGCGGCCACTGTTTATTCATCCGCCGAGTTAATGAGTCATTTATTCATTTAAGTGGAGAGGAAATAATCCCCCCTTTCCTTGTTTTGTTAACGAATTTAAATTGGATTATTTATCATTAAGTACAATAAAAAAAATGGAAAACTGCTGGCATCGTCTTACAAGAGATAGCTAAAAACTTGTAAAAAGTTTGTGAGTGGTGGTGTTGCTCCTTATTTTTCTTTCGTTGTTTATTATTTTCCATTATCTTTTGCCCCTTGCTTGTAACCATCCATGAGATTATTGAGTTTCGTTTATGCTTTTGTACTGTTTTCAAACTTCTAATGAAGAAAAAAATCGTTATTTACTCACTACTGTACTGTAAATCATATTTTTTTATGATTTATAATACTGTATTATTTTAGTCTTATAATTAAATGTTTCTATGTTTTGTGATTTTTAATGCAAAATTAATCAAATATATACATAAGTGTACAACCCATGCTAGGCATATGTATCACAAAAAACAGCGAAAAGGAAAAATACCACAAAATATATTAATTTAAAACATTAATATTGATTTTTTTTTAACGCTAAATTTAAACTGCTAAGTAGCAGGAATCCTCAGAAAACCTGGACACATCTTTTGAAGGCGTTTCCTGTTCCTGCATCCTTGATTCTGACTTGAAATTTTAATTTGGCTGACTAATCAATGATTAAATATTTGATCTAATGGGATCTGCATGGGGTGCATTGCTTCATTCTCTTACACCAATGAATCTGGACATAAAGCAAAATGGAGCCCGCCATAGATTACAGGTAAGACGTAGAAACATGAATCATGCCTGGGGGGTGCTGCAATCATGATCGTTTTCAGGGTGTGGATGTGAGGGTCATGAATAATTTCTAAGCATGTTCAATGGGGTCAATCATAAAAGTCTGAAAACACCTTTTCCATGGTGGAAATGTCCACTCATCTTTAGAATTTAGAAATTTTGTTTTGTTTGCTCACTAAAATAACTCCAAAACATACATCCATGTAAAAAATCATACTTGCCTTTGAGGAAAGGCATCTATACTTTACCAATTCAAGCTTTCTCGTCCTGTTTTTGACACAGCATCTACTGCTTTATCAATAAATAAATAAGTACCATGTTCACCTCTCCTGTTGTTGTTTTTTTTTTTTCCACAGTGGACTCAAATGACAAGAAGGAATACACTCAAGTCAAGAATGTGTAGCAACGTCGATATTTGACTCTAGGCAACACACATTAGAGCCAAAACAAAAAGGATGTGAAACAAAACTGAGAGTTTAAGCAATCCACATGAAATCTAAATATCTATTTGTGGCAATATAATCATACAATCACAGGTCCAGTAGAAGTCAGTAGGGCCTGGAAGGTTTTGCCATCAGTCCCCTGAAAGTTTGACGCTTTGGCATTTATAATCTGTTTTGAACATGATCAAAGTCCTTCTAGAAATCCAAACTGATGCTTTAAGACAAAATGTATCACATAATCTACTGAATATTATTCATTTATAGGAAGGTATTGTGAAATATTACCCAAATGGCATAATAGCAAGGTTTGGGGTATATTAGATAACATAGAATTTTGCCCTGTTTTTCTTGGTCAGAAACTTAGACTTGCCGTGTGTTGTTAAGGCCACATGAGTAGATTTGATTCTAAAAAACAAGGAGATTATGACTCCCAAAGTCAGCTGGTGGAACAAAAGGGATTAACCACCACTCTCTGGTCCAATCTAAAGTAGAAGTCCATACTGCAAGGATATAGTTGTTTGGAGCAAGGGAATACAAGAGCACTTAATGCATTTAACAATTATTCATGACCCTTATAGTTCTTCCAAAGGCAAAAAAATATGAGTGCAAACGAGGCATTCTCTGAAGTACCTCGAAGAACATGCCTGAGGGATCCACATCCTAAGCTTTAGGAGGAAGTGAACAGTCCATCAGCCAATGGAGACCCATTATTGCAGAGCTGATGTAGGTGAAGGAAAATGATCAGGAGTGACAGACGGACAGAAAAATAAAGGGGGAAGGGGATAACAGGGAAGGGTAAAGGGGACCATAAGGGAGACGGGGGAAAAGGCTTGGTCCCACCTACAATAGAGAGTATGAGAGAGCCCAGAATGTCCCGAAGAGAAGCCCCGGAGATGGGGAGGATCGGCGACACCATGCCCTGGAACCAAGGTGACCCACACTGACTATAACTAGAGCTATACACACACAGAAACGTACTCACACACTCCTGAAAAACCCAAACACACATTGAAAACACAGTGGCTCAGCAGGCTCGGGCATCTGGAGCCTTTAGGCTGCAGCTAGCTTGAGCGCCCCCGTCTTAAGCCTGGGATCCCCCGCACGCGGATTGTTCACTGCATCTGGATCGCGTCAGAGCTCGTTTCGGTTCTCAGCTTAGACCGGATCACATTTCTGACCTCAGCGGATGCCAGTGAACAAGCCTTCCAACCCAGTCAGAGTCGGTCAAGTCCTGACATTACCATTTTCAAAGCCTCAGTGAGAGAGATCTTGGTCTCAAGCACATCCTAGAAACAAAAGTGGGTTTTGTTTTAGAGCACTTTGCTACCATTAATTAGGTCATCTGTACAGAATACAACACTTCCACTGTCTTTTAAGTAATTAACACCTATAATGAATCAATATTTCAATTGCAAACAACGTGTTTGACCGCTGCAGACGGTTTTATTGTGTAGGCTTTTACAGTCCTATCGACAACTAGGAGCACCAGACATGTATTTTCAGACTTCACTCAGAGGAATATCCCTCATTCTCAACTATCCCAAAAGTCTAACTAGCCTTTTACAGCTAAGAAACATGCTCTATGCTATGCCATTATTATCCTGCTATGCTAGTATCAATAGTGTGAGCGGGTAGAAAGCACATACCGATGTTTTGATGGAGGCCAGGGATTTTAACTTCTGCAGGAGCAGCTGACTCTGAAGGGGAGGAAGAGAGAACACAATGGGAAGCACATGGCATCAAAGCTCAACTCACTAATCAGTGGTTGAAAAGCTATTTATTTTGCTTCAAGATGAACATCGTTTATCATTTAGGTAATTGAATATGTAAGATAGATAGGTCTATTATAAGCGTTACATGCTGTAAGCCTGAAATGAAATAGCGTTTTGCTTAACAGTAAAGTGTCGCTTACTAAAGCCGTGGAGTGTCTGATCTTCTGAACGATTCCATTGTGACCCAGATACTGCAGGGAGAGCCAGAGAGGTAGCGCTCGCAGCTTTTCCACCGGCTGACTGGAGGTCAGCCCTGCTGCCAGAGACTGAGAGGCCCACACACACACACACACACGCACACACAGAAGGGATAGCATCAGACCATGTCTCACAAAATCACCAAAACCTGCACGTTTTCCAGGCTATGTGAACAGAGTGTGAGCCCACCAGCGCGGGGTCTTCGTGCCTGTAGAGGGTGACGGCGGTGACAGCTGGCAGCCCCAGCCACTGGCCCGGAGTCAGCGTCATGCTGTCACTTTTGGTGGCAGCCTGAAATAGAAATAGAGGACATTAGAGTTATTAAATAATGAAAGCCCCCTTTTTTAAACCTGAGAGGGGAAATAATAAAAAAGAAAATTGTGAAAATATGTAAATGATTATTTAAAGGGAGGGCACGCTCCTGGTTTGAATCGCACCTCACTGGTTGATCATTCCTGGTCACACCGATTAACCGCAGGGGTCCCCCAAGGTTCACTACTGGGACCTCCTCTCAATGCCATACACACCCCATCCACTGGGCCAGATCATCTGGTCACATGGCTTTTGATACCACTGGTAAGCTGACCATACCCAGCTCCTATCTCAGACTATCTGTATGTCATATCAAGATGGATGAAAGCCCATCTTCTTCATCTTAATCTCTCTAAAACTGAACTGCTTGTCTTTCCAGCCAAACTGACCATACACCACAATATTCACATCCAAACCGAATCTCTGTCCATCTAAACTAAACTATGTCAGCTGAGTAGGTTTTTGAACTGACACCTCTCCAGTAAGCCAGGAGGCTTTATAGTTTCGCTTTGTGTATTTATTGGAAAACGAAGGATAATAAACTTTGTTTCGATTAACCCTTTATAGGGCACTTAATGAAACACTTTAAAATAAAAAAAATCAACCTTAGAGTGTTATTGGACAACATAATAAGACTTTATTACATTTGTGACATTTTCTTAAATTTTTTACTATAACTAACGTGCGGAAATTCGCAAAAACAGTCACTTGTCCGATAAAGGGTTAAACAGAAACATCACATCATTGGAAATGTGAAATGACGGATGTTGACGGTTGACTGTCAACAGAAAAGTTTGCCAAAAAACTTTCTCCCAACTCCCTGCTGGGTGTGCCCTCTCAGCTAAATAACATAAGACCACACACTTAAGCAGTCACCTGGCTTGTAGCTAAAATCTGAACACCTGTGCCACCATAAAACATAAAAATTCCTTTTGGCTCTCAAACTGTTTCTTGCTCCATTAAAGGCAACTAGAAAACTCCACTGGTACCACTGGCTACCCTGCATCATATTAAAGTCACTGATTTTTGCCTGCAAAGTGCTTAAGGGCATGGCTTCCATCTATTTGAACAGTCTTGCAAAGGCTTATTTCACCTTGCGGGGACCAAAGATTGTCATCAAGCAGTGCCTACACCACGCTAAAGACAATCCAGACTCCTTTTATATATCTTTCCACGATGGTGGAATGACCCACCAAGTGATAGAAGAACAGTGGCGTCCCTGTATATTTTTAAGAAAGTCTTGAAGACCCAGCTCTTCAGGGAGCTTATTGCTAGCTTAATGCAGTTTGTAGCTTATGTTAGTGCCTCATAAGGTGAGATGTGTGAAGAATGAAGGGTAAAAAACGTTTTTAAGTAGACTGGATTACCGTGATAGCAGAGGTGACCTGACCTAGTGCCAGGGTTGCAAGGTTGACCCTGGAAAAGAACAAAAACCACTGGTGAAACATCAAGTACGCATTTCAGATTTACAATGTGTACAGAAAAAAAAAGGATGACAACTGTGGCTGCGTAGAAGCTACATCCTGAAAGGATTTCACTTCATTTTATGGAAAGATGAGGACAAAAAATGGACACAAAGCTGTCACCACATCAGGTCTGTTCACCGAAGAATATGAAAAAACAGACTTGTTACTGTACAACAAGTCTAAGATAATAGGAGGCTCTTTCCCCTTAATTATGATATTTATACAAAGCTAAATAAACAAATTCCTATTTCCATGATGTATGTCTACATACAAAAAGTTGCTTTAAAATCTATTGTTGGGAGAGGTAAAAGAGCGGACCCACCCCTCAACATGAAGCCATAAGCTGTACTGGTCACACAGCTCCTTCAGACGGCTTAACTTGTCAGTATGGCCGGCTCCCGGGGTACCTGAGAAAAAACACACAAAAAAAAAGAAAAATTAAGCAATGTCCATATCAATAAAACAGAAAAAACAACAATGGAACTGTTGCTGACCTACCGTTACATGAATCATCTTTAAATTATGTTATACATATATAACTACAAAGTGCAAAATGTCTTTCACCTGCATTGGCGATCAACAGCAGGGGAAGCTTTCCAGCTTCCACGTCCTCTTTGATCAGTTTGTCCAACAGGGCTACGTCCTGGGAATAACAAGACAGCAGTCAGGTCACGTTCATTTGCATTGGAGGGAGCCTGGGAGCAAAAGGTGCTTTGCATCTGTGTTCTCCTACCATTTGGTGCTGGGACCCGAAGATGGTGTTGCACGGCACCGTGCACAAACTGGAGAGAGGCAAGCCGAGCTAATAACACAGAGATAAACACAACGTTTGCATTTATGGACTGAGAAGTGGCTGATGAATCGAATGAGATAAGCCCAAACATCCAACCCTATATACACACAGGCAATGCAGACAAGATTGTTTTAATTAAAAAACAAAGAAAAACCAAAGTTGTGAATGCTTCAACTAAAAAGAAAGAATCCTTCTCAGCATTGTGGGTGCTTGAATTCGGATACACGGCGGGCTCTTTGTGCGTTTGTGTCTCTTCCTCCATACCTGGCCGCAGAGGTACTGGCCCAGACCGGGCCTGCAGGAGGCGCTGTGGTAGATGACCGGCTGTCTGGAGCTCAGGACGCCGTAGCCCTCGGTGGCGTAATCCTCGTAGCGAGCGTTGATGACCAGCCGGCACACTTTGACCAGGCCGTCCCGGTCGTCCTCATGGAAACAGGCAGAGCCGCTCTCGTATCTGTGGGCCAGACACAGCAGCATTTAAAACCAAACTAAGTATTCGATGTTTGCTTTCTGCCTATTTTTGACTTAAAAAAAAAAAGAAAATTGACACAGAGATGATATTGTTTTCATGCTAAAACATGATTTGTATATCAAAGGTGCTTTACACATCATTTGATAGTTAAAAATGTAATAATACGATGGAGTATTAGGGCCACATTTACAAAATTTAAAACAAAAAGAATTACGAGATTAAAGTCGTCATTGAATGTGTCAAAAATAAAGTCGGAAATATTCTATCCTGTTTTAGAAGACGAGAGTTTATAAAATGAGGGTCGTGAAACATAGAATTCGTGGAAATCTGCTTTAGAATAACTTTCACCAACAAGGACATAATCTTTTGGCACATCAGAATCAGAATGTCAGAAGTATCAGGACGCTGAAAAGAAGACGCAAGAAAATGCAGCTTTTCCACGGAAAGAACCAGGCGCTGCTTTGTTTAAAAATGTGTCTCTAATACTCTGTTGTACAATAAGAATGATACAAAAAAAGTATATATATTCCCTTTTATCAAAATCTGTGATGTAATAATAATGTTAAAAAGCTCCAGGCATTAATGCAGAGCCACTAACAGTTTAAGAAAGATATAGAGAGACTACAGTCATTGGCCTAAAGGTTGATCTATAAAGGGTTTTAAAGGAAGACACAGTGGGGGGGGGCACACCACGTCTCCAAACACAACAGGGCTTCGACCTGAAGATCCTGCAGAGCCACAGCGTGGTGTCGGACACGATCCGCGTGGTCAGCCTGCGCAGCCGCTCTCTGTCCAGCACGGAGATGTAAGCGGCCAGGCTGTGGCCCAGCAGCGCCATGTGGCTCTGCTCGCCGACGCACTGCATCCTGCTGGAGGAGGGAAAGCACAGGAGTCCGTTTGGTTCGCCTCTCCTGCTTTGTGCGCATCGAAAATGGCCCGTGTAGACATATTCTTTCCCCGGAATATCAAATAGAACATCAGACTCCAAATCTGTGTGCAGGTTTATTCATGGCAACGCCAGCTAAAATCATTCCTCAAGGGTTAGGAAGACAAAAGCACGTCTGTGTTTTAGAGGTCCCACCCTTGTCACACACTTGATGGTGATTGAATAATCAGTCTCCACTAGCAAACGGGAAGAAAAAAAAAAAGGACCAGCTCAAACAACTCGAGTTCCTATTCCAGGGAACTAATACAACTCCGGTTGTATAACCAATGTAAATAACCTCCTACAAGTAGAGGCCACACAAGGAGTGAATCGTTTATTTTATCATCTGCCCTTGTGGTAAATCTTAAGGGGACAAAAAGACAAAACTTTAAAACTCACAGAAGCAGAATTTAATGGACATAAGTACAACCAGAAATAATAAGTATGAAATAAGTATGAAATCTACAGTATTTTTTTTAATGAATCATTAGGTTTCCCTTTAAGAGAAATTGGGATTAATAAATCAGATTCTGTGTCCAAGATGAAGTAACAGGGATGTTTATCTCACTGAAAGGTCTAAAAATAGACTTTGACTCATACTTTTTTCTTTGCCATACAACTCTATTTGATGGTAAATCTGACCAATATCTGACTTGATTGCATTAGTCTACAAAGATATATTTAAAAAGAACAATTTCTGAGTAATTGGCAGCTCACTACAGTTTTTGGGGAGCTACATTTTTCTTTATTTAAAAAAGATTATTATGGTTATGCTTACTGTCGGTTGAACTTGTCCTCTTCCTCCATCTCCTCCTCCTCTTCATGAATGAGGTTGTGAACAAGATGCAGTATAGTGGCAACATCCTGACCACTGCAAAGAAACACACAGGCAACACATGTTTAGCAGAACTCCTTAAAATGTCTCCATTTCCATCTTAACTGCTGTTGCCAAATGAAAAAAAAAAAGAGTCCTGAGATCAATTTTAAAGCCTTTAAAACTCTTGACCCCAACATTTGATAACAGAGAGAGTTTTCTTTCGACAGAACTTTAAGCTCCTTGAGTGCAGACATGCTTACAGCTTGTAAAAAGTCAAATGGGAGCTGAAACTCCTCTCTTTTAAGGTTTGCAAACTTGCCCTAAATCAGTCATCAGCGTGCCATTATATATAACAATTATGCACTGAGATGTGGCCATGGTACTACAATAAGCCCAAAGGCAAACAATGGAAACGCAGCCAAAACAAGCTAAACCTACTCTGTAACAGCACCTGTTACGGTGTGTGTGCGTGAAAAGATGGGCGTGTGTGTCTGTGTGTGTCCGTCTTACTCTCCCTGAAGGGGTCCGGGGATGCTTGTTCGGCTGAAACGCCGTCTGTCCGCTCCTGCCTCCGACTCTCTGCATAAATAGAACGCAAACTTCAGTCAGTTTCCCTGACATATAATAAGCAGAAGTCGTTGTGAATTCGTACATTTGCCCGTCTCCCAGGATCCTCATGGCTTCGGTCAGGTTCTTCCCCACTTGGGCAAGCGTGTTGTCCACCATCATGCCTTTGTGGCTCACTAGGGGAGAGAAAGGGAGAGGGCTTAACCGTCATGTGCTCACCACATATCCGTCAACCAGAAAAATGCAAGTTCATGGATTGTTTTTGCAGTTCAGTCCTCTTACAGTTACAATAGGGTTGAGAATCATATCTCTTAAGATATTAAGATAACACAGAACTACAAGCACCAGATCATTAAGTCCTTAGTTTGTTTTGAAAAAGAGCAACATGACAGAAAAATGGTGTCCTTCCATTTCATCTGAAGATGCAAACAGATGCTAGATGTAATACTTCGAACATACTTCCCCTTCTCTTCTGTTAATGTTTTTTTGTTATTTGTAATTGTGCTTATCTAATATCATTGTGTTCATTATTGAAGAATGTACTCCACAACTAAATAATATGATTCGTTATGTTCATGAAACGGACTCATATTCCTTTGTTGCTCTGTTTTTTTTTTTATACAGACCAGTATTTTTTTAAACTAATTTGAAACAGAGAACACATCTACAAACATCACAATGTGTTTGTAAAATGAAACATATTCGTCACTTTACCTTTAAGTTTTCAGTAAGATGCTCTCACCTTTTTGATGACTTCCTGTTTTGTTTTAGGCCAAAGCAACAAATTTGGTCAAACTGATTGTTTCAGTTGGTCTTTACACTTTAATATTCTTTGACCTACTTGAATATTCACTATTATTATGAATATCATAAATACTACTCTTTTCAGTCGCCATATTTGTATTGCAATAGCTCCCTTAATATGAAATGACGGTATTACTTATAACATTTTACTATGTCAACAGTCCTGTGAAATTTGTCCTAATAATGGCGGCTGGACATTCAACTAGATGAATTTGTCAGGTGCACTGCAGCTACACGGTTAACCGGCGGGGGAAATGTAGGCTTCCGTGCCCCCAGCCGAGTCCCCTTTAGAGGATACTTCATAACAAGGCGCCGGTAGCAGAACCGTCCGACCCCCGGAGACGTACGGCTGTCCGGGGGTTTCTCCCCCCACAACAGCTGGCGGCGCCGGGCCGGGCTAGCTAACAGCGGACATCCTGCTCCGCTCCCCTCCGCGCGCTGACCTCGCGCTCCTTCACTTACCTCAAGCAGCGCGCACCGATGACAGCTTCGCGGGGGTCTGCGGTCCGCGGAGGAGGGGGGCGGGGGTGGTCGGTCGGTCGGAGGGGGGGTAGGGGTGGGGTGGGGGACGCAGAAATGTCGTGACGTGGGAAGGCCGTGGGGTACCTTCAGAAAATTCCAGAGAAAGCCAGCTCAAACGCGATATCAAACGCGTACGAGGTGCTCCGAGTTCCCTCGAAGTACCGGAGATGGAACCGGACAGTTTACTTCCTGGACGCGCGTTCCACGCTGGCAACGCCGACGTCACCCTTTGTCACAGGACTGGCCAGTCGGGCGGTGGGTGATGCTGCCGGGAGGGAATGTTTGTACCGAGCACCAGACCGGGAGCCGAAACTGCCAACAAAATAGCCGTTTCCTGGTGTGTACTAGCAACCGGAGTCTTGACAGAGACCGTCTGTTGAAGTAAAAACGGGGACTATCTAATGTGAAGTTATTTCTACGGATTAAGCAGCCATGTTGCTCCCCGAGTCGACAGCAACCAAAACACCGAAACGATTTAAACTCCAAAACGAGGATTAGCAAAGGCTATGCAAATGTTTTAAGGACTTTACGGTAAAATAAATAATATACAAAAATCTGAAAAACAATAAAGGGAAATAAATAAAGACACATTTGTAAATATATAAACCATTAGGCCTATCCTTTAAAAAAAAAAAAAAATACTCAGCCACTTAATTTTCCTATGAGTGGAGAAAGGGTCATCGGCTTGAATCGTCCCTCCAAAGCCACACAGGGAGACTTTAGCTGTCCTGTAGCGCCCTCTATTTTCTAAGACCGAGGGATGGCTCAGAAGATTTACATCAAAATGTGGATTTATTTGTATGGTTTATTTTTAAATCAACGTGCCCACCTGGATTAAACCCATTACACTTGAGATCATGCAACTGCAATATGATTTTGAGATTTTTTTCCTTTTGTTTTGATCATTAAAAGCAACATCGGTGCTGTTTACAAATACAAATCATACTTTTACTTTGTGAGACACCAAATCTAAAAATATAATAACACGTTTCAGTTTACATATTTGATCATATTTATCCTACTCGATGTTTTGAACATTTCCCCTCATATTTTTTTTAATGAAAATGAACCCACACCGATACTGTACATACAAATGCTGAATCCAAACCACATTAGTTGTTCTCATTTTAAATGTTAAAAATGAATCAGAATTTAATACCTAACATTGAAGTTCAAATCTAATGGGGGCTCTGCGTGGAGATTTCACTGTCCAAAAACATCCAGAATAGGTACATTGGTGATCCTAAATGTAATTAGTATATATCCTGTACTGGCAGCATGAGAAAGCCCTCTAATCTGCAACTGGATACGTTTGCACATTGCAAAATGCTAATTACATAAATTGAAATGACAAAATTTTTAAGGGCATGGCTGTATTTAATCTCCAGCTAATCAAAAAAACAATGTGTTATAGCTTCTTCATTAAACATTTCCTCTGGATACATTAAAGACATCTGGAAGAAAATACGATGAAACAGCTTCTTTAAACACTTCAACATAAACCATAAAAGTACACCAACGGTGACTGAATGAACCACTCATCCCCTGGATGATTCAGCCATTCATTCAGATCAAAATGCATAAAACAAGGCAGATGTCATTGAAAAAAACACATTTTTCTGTCTGCATTTACTTTTTTGTCAGAAATTCCATCGTCCATCGTCAGATTCCTCTTTGTGATCTTCTTTCCCATGGAACAAAATGGAACTATCAAGCCTTATAATTCCTTAGCACATAACCAGCTGCAGGGGGCGTCTGAGCTTCTGGATAACGCAGAACTTTGTGAGGCTTTGCAGCTTTACAGCCCGTTTTTCTCACCATCTGGATTCCTGAAAAGCCCCATTGGAGTGTAGCCTGGTTCAGTTCAAACGCTGAACAGTTTTTCTCCAGTTTAGTTTTACTACTGGGTCAGGATAATTACTGGTTTGGCTCGGTTGGTCCACGTCTGCTGTAATTCCCTCCGACTTGCACCCTGCTGCTGTGTGCTGACTGTCACCCACTGCAACAGGCAACAAGAAGTTATTTTATTCTTGAATTCCCCCTTGGGGATCAATAAAGTATCTATCTGCCTATCTATTTGGTGGGAGGTTTTTTCAGCTTGGCTACAACAAATAACAGAACAAGTAGTTAATCATTTTTTCTGTGAGGTCACTCACAGCAATACAACGACACAAAGATGACCAGTTCAGTTCATTTAAATTTGGTATTGAATCAGAATGTAAACAATAAGTCTTCATCATGAAATCCACAGATTACTCTGATACACACAACTTATCTAATGCCCATTTTTACACACACACGTGCACATGGGTACACACAGACACACTGTAATGAGCAGTAGTGATAATAATCAACTGTATTTTTCAAAGCTGGTAGTTTGTCTATATTATATTTGTTATTATTAAGTCTATTCAAACAGAAAATAAACTTTTTGCCTGTTTTTGTCCTTACTACTTCAACCACAACTTGTTTTAAGACTTGCCAGAATTCTAATAAGGGTTTTTTACTCTTTTAATTGGTGTATCTCTCCCAGCCCTTCTACCAACGTCTGGCTGCTATGAAGACCCTGGCGGGACAATCACGTGCACTATGCAGCAGAAGTGCAAAAGACTTTGCTTTGTGCTCAGAAATTGAGAGAACGGCGTTCCAGACGAAACCAAAGTTGACATTCTTTGCATTTTACAGCGAACAGTGGCGTCATTCATTTGGCTGGTTTTCTATGATCTGTTAACAGGGATTTTTTTACATGCTTTTTTTTCTCCCCAACAGCTTCCAGCTAACCAAATTAGAGAAGTGGCTTGGATAGTTTGGCTGCTGTGGCTCATTCAAAGTAAAGGAGAAGCTGTTTTGAAGGGCCAGAGGTGTGGGCTCCTTTAATTGATGGTAAAGCTCACAAGTTCAAAACAAACTATTTTGAGGAGACATGGAAAAAAAGGGAGAAAAACTCATTTAAAGCACAAATGCCATTTTGTTTGCAGACCGAAGACAAAAGGATCAAGACATAACAATTCATTAATGCAATGATTTTGATCATCACCCTGTTTTATCGTACAATTGATTTATTTTAACTTTTCTCTATAATCGAATTTTAACAAAGTTTTTGTTCTCAAATGTTCTCCCTTTCGACTTGAGAGTATTTACGTATTCCGCAGAAGTCATGATGGACTGAATAACTCACGGATGGTGTCCCATCTTGTTCAGTTATCTCAACAAAAACATTTTTTTCAAGAAATCTTTGCTTGCAACGTTGCAAACCAAAGCTGTGCTGCTGTAATCTTTTTAGAGAGTCGTATTTCTCTTAAGAGTCCTTCTAAACAAGACATGCTGGTTGTCTGTATTGTCCCAGACATTAGCATTTAGTATGCTAACTGAGGCCTGTACGTGTGATATATAGGCCCTGGGTTTTGGATTATACAATCTGGCCTTGGGCTGAACTTGCTGGGACACCGTCTCTTATGTTTTCCTTCCTGTCTGTAGATTGATGGGCTCCAAATAGTTTGGAAAATCGCCTTAAAACTCTTTCCAAATGGATGGGGAGCAACAATTCCTTCTTAAAGATCAGTGCTTTGGTCATTGTTCGGGGGCTCCAAATGATCCCCCACATTTCAGTTGGATTTGAGTTCTGGTTACCCCCAACTGTGAAAGCAATAAGAGAGTGCATAGTTCTTCAAAATGGCTTAGTTTTTCCTCTAAAATCAGTAATCAGTCCGGTTCCACAGTAAAGTCAGTCCATGACTTCTTTTTGGGTTAATTCTTCATTGACTGTCCAACAAAATGAGAAACACATTTTGGAACATATGAAGACCCAACGTCCAAAATAGGGCAGGAGACAGGGTTTAAGATCTAATCCCACTAACAGTACACACAAGAAAACAACAACAGCTCATAATCAAATGATCCTCTACATGATTTATCTTTCTTTTCGGTTCATCTGCTTTAAAACGTGCTTAACTTTTGGTTTGCTGGTCCAGTTAAACCACGGTGGATTAATGTCAGGCTAGCTTTTGTTGATGGACACTGATAGTAAGTGTAATTGGACTTCTATGTACAGAAAATGAAGACATTATAAGACAAAGGATGGAGGGGATTGGGCCTATTTGTGAAGGGTGATTAATAGAAATACACGAAAAGTCTCAAACTGAAGCATTTTCAATGAGTTTGTCACAGTGGTCATGTCATTTCACAAAGCAGGGAAAAGCACCAGCAACTAAGAGGAGTTATTTTTAGCAGAAATTGATATAGATAATGTTTCTCACACCGTTCTCTTAGACCCTGTCAACACTAACGCACACATTTAGCAAAAAGACACTTTTTCCTTTTTCGTCAAAGCCGAAAAGGCATTTTGAACTGAATTCTCCCAAATGACTGTTTCAGCTTTTGCCTGTTTCTGTTCCTCTGTGTGATGATCGTTGAACTGGAAATCAAAACAGGGCCTATGTTCCATTTTTTTCTTCTGTTCTCCTTTACTTTTGTCCCCCTGCTCTGTGGGATGATGCTGTGTTACAGCACTGCCTCAAAATCGATACTAGCAAACAATTAGTCTGATTTTCACAACTGAATTATAACGTTTTAGCTCCATCAGGGGATCAGATTAATAAGAAACCACAAAACGTTCTTCTCTCGTATCTCATGTTTATTTTACATGAGTATTATCTCCATTTCACTGTCTGCTTTCCAACAGGAATTTGAATCCCTCAAACAAAATTAAATCTTTTGTTAAACTTGATTCAATCGGTGAATAAATCCTGATAAGCATGCTTTCTATCTAAGGGTCTAAAGACCTCACACAAAGTCCACCTATCCATCCTTTTGCTATTTCCAGTCATTCCAAGTCGGGTTGCTGGTAAACCACAAACTCACTCTCCCTCCTGTAGTCAATTTGGAGTCACACTTAACCTAGAAGGCATGTTTTGGACTGGCTGGAGGAAGCTCTAGTACAGAGAGTACCTCTAAATACACAGAGAGAACATGCTAACTTCACACCCAGAGGCCCGAAACCACGAATCGAAATATCAAATACACAATAAACGTACAATATGCCAAAAAAAATCCTCCAAAATGAACACCATATATGTTCAGTATCTCAAATGTTCCCCATTCGTAACTGGTTACTGCTTGTTAAACTCCTTTTTTGTCTGAGTTCTGGACAAATAAGACTTTTAATAAGAAAATGGCGCTGAGAATTTTTCTGTAAACTCGGATTTAAGCCTTTACTTTGAAACCATATGTTTAGAAAATATGGAATTACAGACTGATTAGCTCTCTGATGGAATTAGCTTTTTCTAGGGAGCTTTTCTGGTCGGGATATTAATGTCACTCTAAATTTAATGGGGAGCTAATGAGGATAAGCTGACGCATGAGAACCGTGGGTTCAGGGGGTTCGGACCGGCCGAAGGCTTTTCCGGGAATCTGGGGGACGGACGCATCATTAGAGACATGCAAAAATATGACACATGCCTGGTTTATTTGTGAGTTAGTCATCAGGTCCTAAGACACAAGAACTGAAAGGCTGCTCACGTTAAAGCTGGAAGTGATGAGACCAACCACACAGCTCCACTAGTTGTCTCACTGTGGGACAAATCTATTCAGATGGAGACAAATCCCACATGGATGCAGACCTTTGTGAACAATGCTGTCTATTAATCCAGAAAATTAATGTTTTTTTGGGAGTTTGAACTAGTTCTGAGCCATTTTGGATGGAGATCTTTCCTGAAGACTAAATAAACCCCAGCCTAAAGTCCTCATAAAGTCTAAAAAATGAGCTTTTTGTTCTTAAGGGGGGTTGCTCACGTCCAAGTGGTCTTCAAATGGATGAAAGCATGAAATGTAGACTGTAAAGAGAATCATTGTCAAAGCAGAAAGGCTGGGAAGGGGGGGGGGGGGGGTGAATGGGCATTGACTGGGAAGGGTTTTTTCCAGGTGTTGCACCCGGCCCCGCCCCCCGCCCCCCAGCTGCCCCCCCCCCTGTCCCTTGGGGCTGCAGGGGGGATGGGCCAGAGCCACGCCGACCCACAGTCCGGTCCCTGAACGCGTCAGAACGGGGAGAGCGCGCGCCCAGGAGCGAGCTCAGTCCAGCCGCCTTTACGCACCAGTTAGAGGGGAAAGTCTGGGGTAGTTTTCCAAACGTAACCGACCTTCAACTCTTCTCTAGAGGTTTTTTTTCTCCTCTTTTTTTCTTCTTATCTGACTTGGAGCTGCATAAAAGAGCCCTCTGCAATTAAGACAGGATGTCGGACCTTCCAGTAAATGACCACCTCGCAGGGATATTATCAGATTTTGAAGGTATGTGGGCGGTAATATTAAATTACTTTACTTGAGGCTAGGGGTTGCCAAGTTATAAAACCGAATTTGCTCGTGCAACTTCAACCGCTTGTCTCTTATTTCTGAGAGGAAAAAAACGCACGAAGACGGGAGTGTTGGCATCTTTGTTACTTTCATGATACCAAACAATCCAAATGCATCCACAGCCACAATAGAGCAACGTGTTGGATCAAAAGCTTGGAAGATAGTAAAAAAGGTCAATATTCTGCAGGTTTATAAGAATAAATCCAGTGTCTGTTTGCAAGCGTCATCCTGCATGCCAAGACCACACAAACAGGGATTTAATGAATTAAAATGTGAGTTTTCGCAAAGTATAAAAGAAAAGTAACGCTCTTTTCCGTATCATTGAGCAATAGAAATGAAAGTCTTCCATCAGGATAGATGTCAGATTGACGGTAAGTGACTGATGAGCCCTTTGTCTGCTTACAGTATAATTACAAGAATCAAATATCAAATAGGCGCCCCAGTGCGTGTGTGAGCCCGCAGGTATGTGTGTGTGTGTGTGTGTGTGTGTGTGTGGTGGGGGGAATGGGGGATTGTATCTTGCAGGGGCAGTAAATTCTGCTCTTTGAATGAGATGGCTGTCCCTCAGAGAGTCCAGGGCTTGTTTCCTGCTTGTTTTATTTTTTCTGTGTTTTTCTGCCCCGGCTTTGGGTTAAAAGTTAAAACCTCTCAAACACTGGCTCCATTAGATCAAGACTGTTATTCTTAATGTTCATAGAGCGTATTCAGTCTTTCTGTAGGCTATCCATTCCCATAGGCATGTGAAAATTGACTAATTTTACCTGAATGCATGCATTTGTTGGGGTGTAAAGGTCTTTTTACATTTATTTTTTACCACAACTGACCTACTTTTGACAACCTCACCCACAGCCAAATAACTTTGGCTGTTCGGTCAGGATTGTTTTACTTTATCTATGATTAAATCACACAAACAGGATACATGCCTGACCTGTAAATTGTGGTTTATTGCTTCAATAACATATTCCTCCACATGTTTACTGATTGAAACAAGTTTTTATTGAGCACATTTATACCTCAGAGGAATAAAGTCCTAAATGAATGCTCTGGACTGGGGTGAAGTTTGATGGATATGAGAAGATAGCCATATGAGCTGTGGCTTTATGTAAGATATTTACCGTCTGTTGCATAGAGGCCGGTGATTGGATTAAGTTAATGAGTGCTTCGGGATGAAATAAAAGGAGGACGTGGGAGCTGTGATAAGTAGTTTTGTAGTTTTCCATTTCAGCCCAGTCGCCTGTGTAGGCAAGCTCCCTTTGGGGGCAGTTTAAGACTTTCATTCCATCACTGTCAAATGGGAGGTGTAGTTAATTAAGTTAAAGCCTCAATTTACCTTCATTGTAGATGAAGGCTGGTTTCAGGTTGGCCTTTTTTTCTTTTGACTTAAGGGTACAGTTGGAAAGGCCAGAGAAATGGTCTGAAATCATTAATAAATGCTGCGCCTCCGTGGTGTTTCACACATGCCAGAAAGAGATCGGTCAGCCTAGAAATCCCACAAACTGCCATGTCCACAAAGCACATTTCACTTCTGTTACTGTCCTCCAGAGGTGAAAGGGCCTCTGGTTATTGGTACCTAATCATCCTAATTAATCAAATTCACAGGTTTAAACACACACACATTTCAGACATTGTTTCTATTTACACACACTTATTTATTTTCCTTTTCATTGTATTTTAATTGCTTCATGGCGGCCCATTGAAAAAAGCCTGAATTACTAAAATCCCATACCTCGGTCTTTGTAATAAACTTCTATGTTCCATTTCTTTGACATCGGTTATAGTAACATCAATCTTCCTCTGACATGTCTATTAAAGGGAGGCAGTTAGAGCCGTTTGGACATCCTTCAAAGCTGTGCTAGCACTTATTGGGTTACAGTGTCTCATAATAACTTAATTTGCCATGAAAAATGGCATGTAGATACAAAGGATTAATATTCCAGCACCAGCGGATGCCACAGAGCTAGCATGTGGTGCGTGGCATTCCCATGGATGAGTCAGTGTGTCATCTACACCACCAATTGGCAAATTGTTGACTGACATCTCCAACCCATTTAAAATCCACCATCCGGAGAGAATTAAATCTGAAAGAGGATCAAGTTTCTTTGGAAAAAACGTCTAGCAATAAGAATAGAGAAATGAATGGCATAAGGGCAAGTACATTTTTGGCCGGTGGGGTTTGTCTATAGGTTAGCGGCACAGCCTCAAAGCAGGAGAATTCCTGATTTGAATTCAAGGTTGGACCTTTTGGTATGTTGCATACACAATGATAACTTAAAGGTATTAAGACCCTCAACTCAAGGTTTTGCTACCTAAAGACACCAAAGCTCTACTTGGTTTATATTCTACAAGAGGATCAATCTTGCTCAGTTCTTCTGACTCCTGTTAGGACTCTGGCCAATAGCCGAGCTGAGCTGGAGCTGTGTAATTGTCTTTTTGGGGAAGAACAGATGAAAGAGCATCACAGTAATGGAGTCTGCCAGAGATAAGGGTGTGATTGAGCTCCTCTAAATCAGCTCTGGTTGCTGACTTAAGATTTGTTTGAGGTGGCGAGGTCTTGAGTTCTCTGGATTCAATCTGAGTGACGACTCTCATTCCGTCTATTTTGCCACCAAATAGAACTATTTCTGTAGATCAGAGTTTCATCTGCATAGCTGTTATCAGCAACATTGCTGTTACAAATGACCTGACTGGTGGGGATCATGTAGAGGATGAATAATAGTGGCCCAAGAATTGGCCCTTGAGGGACTCCACAGGTCAATGGAACAAGCCCAAATCTATTCTCGCCAATAGAAACCAGGTAAGCTTCTGCCTGGGAGATATGATCAAAGCAGCTGATAACCTGACCCACTTTTCCACTCATCCATAAAGATTTGGTGGTTCACAGCCTCAAAGGCTGAGCTAAGACCCGATAGCGTTAGAAAGGATGTTTTAGTGCTCAGATAAATGTCATTTAAGCTTTCACCAACGCTGAAATCCGTCTCAAAGACAGTTTGGATTAAAGAAACCGCTGAGTTGAGTCAATGCAACTTTCTCAATAATAGTTTGATTTTTCGATTGTTACCAATATAGTGACCATGGCAACTCGGATGTTTTTGGTTTTGATATCAAAGAAGGGTGAACACTCATTACTCCTATTCTGAGTCATCAAATCTGGAGCTAACTGCTCTGGGGTGTTAGTTTGGTTCTCAACAGTGGGAAAAAAGTAGGTAATTGTTAGATTAATGAATTTTAAATTGGCTTTCTGAGTGATGCCTGTTAGTTTGTACCCTTCTTTTCGTGTAAGGACGGGTAAGCTGGGGAAAAAAATGGATGAATGAATGGGTGTGTATATATAACGAGTCAGTATCTGTCATGCTAGCTCACTTTCCACCGTAGATACTGATATAAACCAGTCAATCATCACATTAAAACACCCGGTCTTACATCATGTAGGTGTTATGTTTTACTGCCCATGGAGCTCTCACCTATCAGGGCTTTGACAGGAAACCCTTTGGCATGCCCTTTTGTGATCCCTGCCAGTTAGACAACGGCAAGTGGATGAGATCTGGTGGATCAGAAGACGGTGGCTCCGCGGAACAGATTTGTTTTTACATATTACAGACATTTACGATTAGACTGAATTCTGAGGGGTTTGGAAGTCGGATTCAGGCCTTGGTCTCTATTCCTCAAGAAGTTTTTGTTATGTTGCTTTGGGAAAACTGTATTTAGTAGAATATATAGACATAAATAAATAGCATGTATAGCTTTTATAGCTTCCCATGGGAGGTATGTATATACTTCCCATGAGAAGCAATAACAGCTAAATGTTATCATGCCTCGTAAAAGCATTCAAACTCTTTCCAAGAGGCAACGCGTTGTGACAAGACTCAGGCATCCACCGTCCTGAGCTCCTCTCCCTCTGGGCTAGTGTCTAATAGCGAGCGGGACAGAATGGGTACGCGGGCTACATTTCGTGGCTAATTGGACGTGCCTGAGGTGTAACAATGATAGAGATTCAGAAAAGGATTTCTCCTCAGGTAAATGGAATAGCCCTAAAACCCAAGATACAGATTCCCCCCCCACTTTTTTAAATCGCCCCAAAGGGGAATATTTAAAAAGTATTTAAAGAATAAGCCCTCTTTTAAATCATTCACCATGGGAGCGACTTATCTTGACATCTGATGACAGAAATGGAGAATTGATCATTGACCATAGTTTCTGATGCTTTGCACATGTAGATTTTTTTTTATTCAATTTTTTTTACAGTAATCACTCATGGCTGACCTGGTTGTCTCTAATCTGCAGCACTACAGATACTCATCAGAGAAGTGGTTGAAATTGAATTCAGATTGTTTCCTCTGCTCTGGCAGACAAACGGCTGCCTTTGTTTTTTGGGTGGGATTTCACTTAGCTGCCCTTTTAACATATTTACCTCCGGAAAGAAGGATGGGAGCCACCAGAACGCATCAAGACCAAACGTGAACTGCTTTGGTGGTGTTCTGTGTCTGTCAGTCTGAGTGAGGAGCGACTGACTCGTAGGTGTTAGCTCATAGAAATGCAAGGGTAAGTTAAAGGGCTGGTTAAGTAACTAGGAAGTAAATGTCGTTTTTCACAAGTCACTCTTGCACCCTTGAGGCCTCCAGCTGTTACAGACCCTCTGTGTTGCAGAGGTTTAGAAAAGATCCCTGCCAACACGTGTGAAATAGCTGCTGTTATTCAGCATCTTTCTGCATCCAGAGCTTTGATTGTCCCCCGAATGACAGAGCTGACAAAAACCACATTGCTTTTTTATTCCGCACCACAATAAGGGATCATTGACCCTCCCATAGTTTTTCCTCTCAGCCCTAACAAAAGCCCTTTTCACACGGTGGTCGGAGCTGCAAGGTGCTCACATTCATACGGTTATAGAAGCAGTTATGTGTGCTGTCATAATCAGACGGCCCACAATTGTTTTGCAGTTTCAGCTCTCTCTTGCACAGTTCACATTTGGCCGTGTGAAAAGGGCTTTTTTCTGTCATAGGAGGAACCGTTCGCAGTTGCAGACGATGAATTTCTGCTTGCAGCAGAGTCTTTAGGTCTGCAAAGAGCTTTTGAAATTTCTGTTAGATCTGCCGTTGGTTCTATTCGAACGAAAACATGTGAAATTGGGTAAATGTTGGAAAAGAGCCTCTTAAGTAGAACGAAAAATAAATAAAACCATAAACAGATATGACGACCTTTCATGTGAGAACGGCTTGAGAAAGAAGAAATGTAAGAATGTATTTTCTTTTTTTTTTTTTTAAATTCATTGCAGTGATTGATCAAGTCTGACTTATAGTAACTTGTAGTCATGTCTTATAGTAAATGTTCAAGAGACAGTGGGAAAAGTTTAACTTATTTCATTCTTAATTATTCTGGGTATTGACAAAAATTAGCTGACTTTTCATCACAGTTAACCCTTTAGATTTTTTAAATCTCATCTGGTACATTTCACACTTTAAATAAGTTTTAGGACTTATTTGCTTTATGTGAAGTACATTTTTATTTTCCCACAGTAAAACAGCTCTAACCAATATGCAAATTTGAGTTTTGACTTATTTGGTGATGCCAATAGATCGTTTGCTTCGCTTTGTAATGCCGTTATAATTCGTTGTAAAATTAATTAGGAATTATGTCCAGGAAATGTCCAATGGTCCAATACATTTGGTCAGTATTAAATTACCATTTTTTTTTTTATGGACTTCCTTAGATCAAGCCTTGAACCCAAAACTAATGGATATAAAGGAGCATATTATTGATTTGGATCCACAGTTTAGCTAGATTATTAAGAAGCTACAGTAAAAAAAAAAAGTGAATAGTACAAGTAATGAGCTTCTTTAAATGTGAAAATGCCCAAAATAAATGCAGAAAAAAAAAAGGAATAACACAATCAGACGTCAGTCACCATTTGTTCATAAAAACATTTTTAAAAAGCCTGGAGTAGGTATGTTAACCTTGAACTTTTTTTTTTTGCTGCTAAAATGAAAGAGAGCTTATTTTGCTGCTGGAGAAAGAGATGATTGACTTAATTGTGCCTCTCAATGACATCTAGCAGCTGCTGGTAGATCTAAAGGAGGAATGTTTTCTTATTAAAACCAAGCAAATATTGATCCTAATTATGTAATTAGAGCCAAAATATTAAATTGTGGTGAAAGAAAAAGGTTATTACCAGAAAATCTGACAGTAAGCATTGTAATGTCCACTTTATATACACTTTTATAGACAGGTTATATCTATATTTATTCGTAAACTTTATATCTGGCTCAGAGCTAGAAATATTGGGGTGGTTGCTCTGGGTGGTTTTACATGTTCCTGCTGTCAGATTAAATATCAGTGCTTATTAGCACCAGGAGATTAGAGGGGACGGGGATGGGGATGGGCCCCCCCCCCCCCCCCCCCCCGGCCCCGTCACAGACTGGTACTGCACCCCAGCATGCACCCTGTAAAGATCAGAGGGTCCCATGACTTACTGACCCACTGACCACCCCCGCGTCACCTTCTAAACTACACTCACGCACACACACACACACTCTCACACACACACAGTGAGTGCTTGTTGTTTTTTCTCATGACAAATGGCACTCTATCAAAAACACAGTCCCACCCCCGGCTGACATTCCAGCATGAAAGCGGCGAGCACAATGGCCTGAGGACAGCCGGCCGCTGAGTGTCCTCATCAGGAGGGACGGGGTCTGGAGGACTTCTGGAGACCGATGGGTGAAGTTAGAGCGTAGTAAAAGTTCATACTGCAGCGTTTCCAGAGAGAAATCACAAAGTGAGTGACAGCGAATGCCAATCGGGAAATGAAAACAAACCAAAAATAATGGTCATCAAACACTCCTTAACTAAAGACTCACCAAAAATCCTGACTTCTTCTCCAAAGTAATAAAGACTAATATTTATTATATTTATTTCTGTATATATTATATATATTATCTATATTATATGTGGAATTTTGTATATATATGTATATATGTATAGACATGTATGTATGTATATGCCGTTGTTTTATTTATGGAGCCAGTAACAAAAATAATTTCCCTCTGGGATTATTAAAGTATTTCGGATTCTGATTCTGATATCTGATTCTGAGCAAGGGTTGAAACAATAATCTCCCCAGAGATTTTAAAATGAGGTATAGGTTAATAATAACTAATTATGATAATATCTGATTATGCTGTGTTTTATTAAAGTGGTACAACTTAAACAATTTAGTATTATAAATATTAAGAGGGATGAGAATGCAGTTCTAACAATTATCTTCAGGACATGAAATTTAATTCCATTGTTAATTAAAAAAACAGTTCTCAGCCCGTGGTGCAGGTAAATCCTGAGATTGATACATTCTTGTGTACATTCTTGGAGATAAGTCTTATTTACACCTCGTAGATGAGGTTACACTGTGCCCTCTGACTGACCATGAGTCCTAATCTTTCTCTGCTCCTTAAAGTGGACCATGATGAACTCCCTCTGAATGTGAAACAATACCGGTCTGTATTTAGTGGCAGCGGGTGTCGCTAAAGCTTTTGCTGTGTCTGTTTTTGAGCTAGGTTAACCAGCCGAGGTCGGAATGAGAATATTTAGATGTCAATCCAGCCAAGATGGTGTAAAATCTTCAATTTGGCCTTTTATTTTTAGCTTATAAGAAACAATCGGAGCAGAAAAAAGGGAAAGAAATAAACCAGACGAGTAGAGAATGATGCATATGGAATGAGATTAAAGACCAAATGTACAGCAGTTGAGTTAAATTGATATTGACATTTATTAATGTCTTTGGTTCCTTTTTGTTCTTTGCCTCCAGGACAGTTTAGCCTTTGTCTCGGTTTGTTAGAGGCCACACACACCTGAAACACACTGACGTCACAGCCTCTTGTGCTTGTGTGTGGACAGTTATGAGTCCTGTAAGTGTGTTATTTTCAGGATTACGCCATCGCAAATGGCGGCTCGGAATGCGCTTTCCAGATGTGCTTTTGGTGAGTGGAAGTTGTTTTAATGGGCCTGTGTGTGGGTCCGTGTGTGCGTGTGGATATTGTTAAGGTTTATTTAGAGGCTCAGTTTAGGGCAGGATCTTTCTAATTAGTGTAAAGTTTGGCTCAGTGGAGAGTAAAGCCTGGATAGAAGTTCATATGGTGAAAGTGCGGTGTGAGACTGTTCTGGATGTTATTTGTCCCGTAAAACCTTGTGGTATGTGCTGATGGAGGGTAAGGTGTGAAGCAAGCCTAGACGCAGCATCCCCTCAGTGTGTGACCACAGGGCAGGTCAGACCTCGCGTCCGCCCATTTTTTAACCACTTCACTGGTCAATGATGTCAAAGCATAATTGCTTCATTAGTTGGAGCAATGCGAGTTGGTCGCCCCCCCCACAGACGTGCTGGAGTTTGACAGGATACTAAAAACAAGCAAATCCAATATGGTTTGGACTGTTATGTCAAAATCAGACGCATTAAAAATGCCTGATTATAAAATAATTATATAAAAAATAGTAAAAACTAATACAACTAATAAAATAATTAGGCAGCAACACACAGAACAGGACAGTATTTGAGGGATTGTCCTCCTGACCAATGAACTGTAGCTCTTTTATTTTATTTTTTCTCTTTTTTAATGTCCATTTTGTTTTTTTATGTGGTTTATAAATGGATATTTGCCTGTTCTCATTCAAAATAATTGATCTTTCTGGTGACTGAGCTAATGTCAAAGGAGGAGACCAGAAAAAATGCAAATTTTTTATCTTGACAAGTCATTTTCATCCTTATAAAAAAAAACTGCCACCTCCCACTTAGAATGTCACGAATGTCAGTGTCAGTCATGAAGATAATAATTCAAAAAAAGAAAGAAAATGAAATGCGTCCAGGTGTTGTGATGCCAGGTGGGATATCTAATCCTCCTGCTGCTATCTGGGCGTGCCCCCCCGTCCTCTCACAGTTGGATACACCTGGAATGCTGGGATTACAAAAGGCAGCTGTGGGAGTTATGGATGAACTAGATAGAAGAATACGCCCATGCAAACTAAGGCAAAACGATTCAGGGCTATTGAAATCATTATCTCACTCCCAGAACGCTAAACAAGCCAAACAATGGCTCTTTCACTAAACGTGTTTAAGTTTAGGCAAATTACTTTTTAAATTTTTTATTTTGCATGGAAATTCGTCGATTTTGGACTGGTCAAAACTCTATATTTGATTCTGCCCAAGTATGAACATTATGGCCAAATCATAAATCTTATTAATCCCCCTGAGAGCCCAGCTTTTATCTGGTTTCTGCTTTATTCTCTGGTAGATCCAGAGCTCAGTGGAAGTTGATAAGTTTAATAACTAGACTTTGTCCTGGTAGAGGTAGTTATTCTTCATATAGGCTCAGGGGGTTTATCTTTAGATTTAATAAGTTTGTTTAGACATTTGATTAAATGATTTCTCTGCTATTTTGTTCTGAGGGTCCAAAGTAAGAAGATGATTGATGTAAAATGTAGTTCATGTAAGACCTTGACTTTGTCCATTGCGTATTATCCCAGATATTTAGCTTTTATTGCACGTTGGATGACTGATTTGTGTGCTTTAATCGGTCCATTGCATTGTTCCCATTTCACAGACAATAACTTAATGTGGCCTTTAGTTCCCTCAAAGAGTTCAGACTGGCCTTTGTCGGGGCCCTGCTCCCGGATAGAGGAACAATGGTGGTCAATTTTTCCCCTCGTCTGTGCACGATCAATCTAAATGTGGATTCCAAAGTCCAACGTCTTAAGAGGTGGTCCTGGAACCCTTTCTTTATTTGGTGAGCATCAATAACCCTTTGTCTGGGGTCCTTAGAAAAAAGCGGTGAGGGGGGGAAACATCTCCACAGACTTTGATAGATCCTTCTTCTGTAAATAAAACGCGACATCTCCTCTCATGCGTGATTGATTTGAAACATCTGACTCCAATTCCAGCCGTAGGTGAACCGCTTGTCCTGTGGTCCACATACTTTTACTGCTCGGGACATTATTGGATCATTTTCCACTGAGAATTTGCACACTGAGTTCCCTTTTTTGGTGGTGGTGGGGGTTAGTTGAATGCATAAAGGCTCTAATGTAGAGAAGAGTTGAGTTTCCTGGTTAAACTTATGGCTGGTAGCGATGTGGTGCAGCTGTGTATTTGAACTGAGATGATTTTTTACCCCAAACAGAGTTTTTTTCCAGTGGGTTTGCGTAAACTCATCATGCATCATCCACTGTGCTGGTCTCAGTAGATGCAGGTTTCGTAGGTAATTGCAGTCAGTTTGGAAATGATTTATCACGGTTTTCTTTCAGAGAAAAAAACACATTTGATGGCACTTTCAAAACTTTGTTCTTTGCGTATAAGCCTGAGCTGACGTGGCATTTCTGGAGTGTTCAAGTCTTCAACGTTTAAATAATAACAGAGGGGGGTGTTTTTTGTGTAATAACTTTTCTTTTGTGTAACAAAAAGCCTCATTAAAAGTCCGGTCAGCAGGCAGTGGTGGTGTTATGACATGTTTCCAGCCTTCAGTGGAAGTCTCAGCTTGCCCCCATGTCTTTATTTTTTTATAAATATGTCAAAGAACAGAAATGAAGCAGCTAAAAGCTATTCACTGACAATTCCCCTTTGGTCTGTGCGCATCAATGCATACACACACGCGCGCGCACACAGAGGAAAAATGTGCGGACCTACCATTAAAGTGCATTTACTGTACTTACATTAATCCTGTTGCCTTTGGTCTTTCAGTCTCGTTAGACTCCGAGCACCATTTCTAACCCTTCACCTGTCAATGTGGAATGTTTGGTATTGGACACACACACACACACACACACGCACACGCAATCCTCACAGCTTCTACTTAAACTGACTGGTGACTCGCACAGATGGAGATAGTTTTCTAATCATGCTAAATAATGGATGTTCAATGGAGGAGGCAACAAATAGGAGCATCCAGCAGACAAAGCTGCCCGTTTAGGCCACAGATGTCAGACGACACGTTGTGTGCAGCCCAGACGCACACACACGCAGACCCACACACAGATAGACCCGAGTGGAGGCGCAGGGCCGTCATGGTAATTATTTCTCCAGCGTTTTGACAGGGTGCCAGCAATTACCTGATACCGGGGTCTCCTTATCTTTCTGCGCAGAGGGCAGGTTGGGGCTTGCGGCCTCGGTGGAACTTGTCGAGTCCTCACATACGCATCCTCAGACTGCCTGGAGCCTGCAGAAGCTGTGGGCTAATGGCTGCTAGGTGTGTGATTTAGAGCTCCACTGACACTGTTATTATTTTGTGGTTAGTGTATCCATCAAAATTGCCGTGTAAACAACCTTTGTCAAACACAAGGTTTTGGGATTCGTAATTATGCAAAAACTGAATGCAGTTCTCCCTGAAATGAAAGCCAGTATTGAGTTAGTTTTTTGTTTTTGTTCATTTTTTGAAGCCAATGGAACTTAAAGTAAAGCACAAAAGGGTATTTTGGACGTAGTTTTCCTAAGAAGTGGGTTTCAATTCAGTTTTATTCTGTCTTTCTCAATGTATTTCCGTCAACTAACACTTCTGAAGGGGTTGGAGGTTGGAGGCTATCCTCGTGCTGAGGGGTGACGCTGCTAACCATCATATCAAAACAAAGAGTTGCAAAGCCAAGGAAACCGACAGATCCCGCTTGTAGGACCTTCTCTTTGATTCAGTTGACCGTCCTGAGCACGCACAAAGGCCAGAGCGGGGAGGAAATTCTCCTGGAACAGGAAGAAACTCCCAGGAGGACCAGGCTCAGGAAGGGCCACCATCTGCCTTTACGGGTTGTGGGTTAAGAGGACAGGAAGGAGGGGTCAACAAGACCAGAAGGCCAGGCCAAGAATACCTGCTGAGAAAGGGAAACAAAGTTAATGACAACAATTATGTCACGGAGACTGAGAGTCAAGAGAGTAAAGCTGAGAGACGTGCTGAGCACGTTCTGGGATGTTCCCGAGCATCATAGTGGTCTATTGTTGTGCCTTATTTTAAGGGCAGATCCTGGTAAAAAATGAGAAAGTAATACAGTATAATTAATGTTGATTGTATGTAACGCTGGTGTCTGCAGAAGATTCCTCATTTATTTGAACAAACTCAAATCTATGAGATGAAAATGACTAAAACCAGCCTAACTTAGTTCAAGATGAGATTGTAATTGAAGTATTTCGATATATGAATTGGTTTTGCTTATGGCCGTGGAATAAGAGCGATTCCTCCTGTTACCCCTTCAACAGGCCCCACACACACACACAAACCCGTCTGCGGCGTGTCACATTGCACTGGCTGATTTTTGTAATGCAAACCCTACACTGGATGCCTGGTCTGACCTCCATCCAGCCTTTGTGGCCACAGGATGAAAGCAATGCGTGCGCTTTCCCATTTAGAAAAGGAGACTGCTTTCACACAAAGATAAATATTCCAAAACATCCCATAGATTCAAACCCAAAGACAGCGATGCTATGATCTTCTTTTCAGTACCACAGATGTGTTTATGAATGAAAGAGCACTGGTTATATATCCAAATAGAGGCTTTAACATTTAAACTTAATAAAAACTATGGTTCCTTATGGTGGAACCACATGCACACCCTCCTAAATATTTATGTTTATTGAAGAACCATGTTCAAAAGAAGAGTTTGACTATATTGAATACTTTCACAAAGTGAACATAGACATATTTGATGGACAAATAGTAGATTGTTCAATCAAAACTAGATTTAAAACCCGGAATTTAACATTAAGTTTTCCTTTTTAGCAATTACGATCTGTAATTTGGATTATGCTGTCAATAATCACAGATGGTTGAATGATGTTGACAATGAAAATTCAATATGATATTCCACACACCAATGTAATGCATGTAAAATAGAGTTACAGAGGCTGATAACTGTAGAATATAACAAGGTTCCACAATAGACTTTTACAAGTTTAATTGGTAAAAAAAAACAAATGTGTGATGGGTTTGACATATGCTTTTTCCTTCACATTCAACTGTGGAAAAGTTTTAGTAGGGAAAAGCCTCATTAACATAAACCTTCAGTTTTGTGTGTTAAATCTTTGATGGTTCCAACGAGTTAAGCCATAGTTTTTCCCAACATGTTGCTCCATTTCAAAGCTTTATGAACAGCCTGGATTAAGATACTTACAACAGATGATTAATACTCATCACAATATCTCGCTAATTTATCAGACTTAAAAATACTAAATACCAGAAGCCATTCTGATATCAACAGAACTTATTGTCATATTGATAACTGTAAAATTGTGTCTACTTTGTAAGTCACTTTGAATAAACGCATCTGCTAAATGCATAAACATAAACATAAACATCAACCTAGTAATGAAAACCCTATTATGTATTTAGGAGTGCCACATCGCCACATGACAATTACAAAAACTAAAAACTTCCATTTTCCATTCGACTCGGTCCAAAGCATTATCCTTACTGATTGGAATTAAACTGTTATCGATAGAGGTACGAGATATCATTTCTTTTTCCAGTAATCAGATTAGAACTGATTTCCTCTTCTGGGATTTCCTGTACAGCGTTTGTCCCTTTGAGTACAGTGTTCCAGGTTTATGGCTGTTTGACCAACTATGTAAGCTAGTTCCACACATTTTACTATTTTTTTTCTTCTGAACTGTGTTAGCAACTTTGATTGAACTCATCTTGAACTCCATGCAAATTTGTTTCCTAATTTAATAAGGACAGTACTATCTATTACCATACTGCGACCCTGTTTTGGGGAATTCTGGGAATAGCTGTATGGAAAAGGAATGGATGGACTTTATTACCATTGCGATTGAAATGATTAATTAATGTATTGATTTCTTTGTCGTCCTATCTGCAGCACTGAAGAGATCTTTCGACACGGAAGATGGGGATGACATTCCGTCATTTTCCTCAAATTCACCGGTTTCCACCCCCGTTTCGCCCTCCTCCTGCCATTTCTTTCTCAACCACAGTAAAGCAAAGGAAGACAAGGGGGAAGGGGACCAACCTCCCTCTTTTGCCTTCAACAACAACAACAGCATGGGCTCTGTGCCCCACTCCCGTATCCGGCTGAGTTCCAACCCCAGCCCCAACATTAAAACCCGTACAGTAGGTAGCAGCTTGTCATTCAACCGAGGAACCATGAACAAGCCGGTCATCCACAACAATGGCTCCTCCGTAACCAGAGCCGCTTCTTTCCAAAGCAGGCTGAATCCTACTATCTGCTCCCCCTTGTCCGGACCAGGAAGCGACAATGACAGCCTTCACAGCTCGACATCCAGCTTAGAGTACTCTAGTGGGGTGGGTTATACCCTTCCCCTTAACAAGCTGACATATCACAGTCCTCCATCTCAGAGGGAATACCGCGGATCCCAGGTGCAGCAGCCCCAACGATACCATGAAGCCAACATAAAGAAGTTCTCCCCCCTCGGTAACATTCTCAAGTCAATCAATCAAGGACAAGGGACGATGATGGGTATGACTGAGCCTCAGGAGATGAACCACGGTTCCACCACTGTTATTGACTTCCAGATCCCAAACGATGGAACTGGAGCCATGGAAATGCAACGAGGTGGTGGTGAAGGGAGGCTCTCTCCAGGGATGAAGTATGTTGACGCGAACGCAAACTGGAATGGAATGCTTCACAATGTTAGTTATTTTGGAGAAAGCGGCTCCAAAACGGCTAGTCCTCAGCAAGGGACCCACATTCTCAAGTCCCCGCCGGCCAAGGCCAAAGGAACTCCCCGTCTTAATAAGTTTCCCCTGGATCTTGACAGCTTAGTCAACAGCATCTCAACAACATCCCCCACCAAGGCTGAGGGTGATTATTTGAGTGGAGATGCCCCAAGACGCCCCCCGCAGAGCTCAAGCAACCCTCAGCACCACATCAGTCCCACGTCCACAGCAGCCAGCTCTTCAGCCTCTCTCAGCAGCCTCGACAGTTCTTCTGAAACACCTTTCCGCCCGTATAACTATACCCATTCGCCCCCCTCATCAAGCTCCCCGTTTCCTTCACAGGGAACTATCTCTTCCCCAAAGATGAGTTGCTCCCCTGTGCCCCTTTCTCCAACCGGGAGCCGTCACCTGGGTATTTCGTCAGGATCCCCAGTTGTTCAGATGGCCCCCAATCCTCATAGCCCTTCCAGCCTCTCCAGCACCTCCAGCCCTAGAGTTACCAGGCCACTTGAGGGTGGTAAATATGAAGCAAAAGATAGCGTGGACTTAATCTTGCAGAGAATTGCCTCGTTCTCCCGACCTGACGCCACCTCTGCACACGGGGCCCAAATCCAAAAACCCACCCAAAGGAATGGTTCCTTTGGATGTCCCACTGAGACAATGCCCAAGAATACGTGGAAAGAGGGAAAGAAGAATGGATATGGAGGTAAGATGTCCCAAATTTAGGGTAGCTTCCAGTGTCAGAATACTAGTTTAAAATGTCTCCATACAAAATTTAAATTTCTGTTTAACACTATGCAGGATACTGAACCAATCGCATTGCTGTCAGGGTATCTACTTCTGCACTACCATTAAGGATTAGGGTGCTAAGGATTGGGTCATTTCAGGTTTCTTTTTATTATTATTTGTCCCATGCAGAGAAAAATGGCTATCTTCAGTCTTGGACTGAGTCATACAAAGGCTTTCACATCTTGAAGCACACGCGCAGCATTAAATCATGTTTTCGAACGGAGAAGTTGCATAAATGTAATTTGAAATAAGTCGTGCAGTTTATTGAATTCGATCTGCAATCTGGGTCAATTGTCAATCAGCATGTGGGCAGCTGTGGTCCAGTGCCTTTATGACAGTTCTTCCACCAAAGATCAGGACATGTGCGTAAATCAATAAGATCTAATTCCTCTTTTTTTACAATCCGTGATTCTCTCTGTTTTTAATCAGCAGCTGCAGTGACATTTGATGATTTTGTATTGACAGAGGTGAAGAAAAGTGCCAGAAAGACGTTAAAACTATTAGAAAATGCCATGACACATTCTTATTTGTGTTATGGGTTCTGTTTGATGTAGTAAAGAGACTATAAATCACCACATTAAGATACATTTTACACATTTTGAACTCTTAAATATTGCATATTGTGCATAAAGGTGTATGAAACAATGTGTACAGCTAATGAGACCTTTTTCTCAGCGTCAAATACATACTGTTCCTCGTAAGTGCAGCTCTAGTCTGAAAACAACATCGCTGCTGCATTCATGTCATAAATTGTAGGTTAACATGCGCTAATAGGTGTTTACAGTCAAATTATTGTCTTGCTCCATCCTGTGCCTTTCATGTAGGGCTTGCTCTCAAAAGCATTAAAAAAAAATGTGTCCCTGGGGCGTAATTCTCTTCTCCTTCTATCTCTTCCAATAGAAACACATAATGGAGATAAGTGGAAGTAGATGAAGTGTTTGGCTTCACAGTTATAATTAATCAGGCTGATTAACTTCAGGTAGCTAATTTTGCACAGCAGGTATCGATCCCATACATCTGTACCTTATCTTTTCTCCCCCTTTTCAAAATTTTCTTTTGTATTTTTTTTACAAATACTCACCTCACAACATCTTTCATTGTGCTTAAAAAAAGCCTAACAATACAAACTAGCTTGCAAACCCACTTATGAAAATCCGGCTCTTGATAAAAAGTCATAGTTATCTATATGCCTAAGCAAAGGTTTTGGAACATGTCATCTATTTATCTGTATCTCACATTTTCATCACTTTTGATGGAAAGAGATTTATTACATTGACTTAAGCAAAGCTTGTGAACTATTTGAAAATACTTTTTGATAGTTACCTTTTGCTATAACAGCTTTTTTCAGTTGTTCTGTGTGATTGCAGTTTCAGTAGTATTGAACTCCAGTCTATAAGTAATGGATTTGGCTTTTCACCTGATTATTTCTTCTATTTGTTCAGTAAATTCACTGATTTCTTAAGCGAATGGCAAAACTACAACTTACGCTTTGTTGTTTTTAGTTATTCTTTTCCTCCACAAGTCAGTTCTCGTGATCTTTCCAAAGGTCAAGAGAGTTTTGAGTTTCAGCACATGAAATAAATAGAGGAAACGCCCAGCGTGAACTTCTCATGATGGAGCCTCCTTTCGACTTCTTTTTCAGGGCTGTTGGTTTTTCCTTCCCATTGGCTGAGATTAGAAACCTGTTTCCTGCTCGCTTGTTTGGTTCAAGGCCCTCAAATGTGTTTCCTGTAGGAGATAAGATTAGCTCCCCCTGTCTGAATCGGCTTGTTTTATGAACACCCAAGACACAGCCATGGAACCGACAGTGATAACAGAAGACAGTCGGAATTAGTATGGCGACAAGCGAGCATGAAAAGAAAGCACAACACTTTAAAAGGCGAAGCCCAGTTCAAATGACCTGACTGTCAAACATGCACAGAGATCAGAGAACATTTGAAGCAGCTATACATGATTTCAGTACACAGTGCAACAAAGAAAAGGACAAAAAGAGGAAGATAAAAAGGCTTTGTAACCTCCAAGGATAAGATAGCACTAAAAATGTAGCATTACAGTTGTAAATGGAGCTCAGAGCACCATAAGATTGGATTACAGGCTTTTCAGGGATAGAACATCTTCAAAAGTCCACCGCTGGGTTAAATCCCAAGGGTCAGTGATTATGTGGCTGTTTCAGTTTTGCCACATAACAAAGAGAGGTGAGATGCAGGACCTAGACCAAGATATACAGTATGTCTGGATTTATCCCTCCAGGTGCTCCGGCTCACTTCAGAACAAACATGCCAGCTAGGTTTATTGGAGACTTTAAACAGTCTGTAGGAGTGATTGTAAGTGTGTGTGGTTGTTGGCCGCTTCTCACCCAAATGTCAGCGGGGATAAGCTCTAGGCCCCAATGACCCTACCAGGAATAAACTGTATAGCCACTGGATGGATGGATGGATGGATGGATGGATTTATTCTTCCCGTTTAGGGAGGCAGGATCAATAGACCTTACTTACAATACATCAGCAGGGAGTCACTCAATTATTGAGCCCCTCACTCCAAGATATATCAGAATTTGTGTAGACATGGTTCAAATGTCTAGTGATATGAAAAGACACTTGTTTATATGCGCCAGTGCCAATTGAAGTGCGTCGTTTTTTCTTATTGACATGCCATAGGAGTGAATATAATTGTGAGTGTGCGTGGTTGTTTGTCCTTGTATGTCTCGTGTGTGTCCCTGTGATGGACTGGGGACCCTCCAGGGTGACCCTGCCTATTGCCACTGGGATATGCTCCAGTTATCCCTGCCACCCCATTAGGGAATAAGCGGTAATGATAATGGATAGATGGATGTCCAACCTCAGAAGTTATGTTCCCCCAGATAATTGTCATTAGTTGAGGGTGCTTTAAAGGATTGTATTTGCCAATAATTAAAATCTGGAACTGTAAAGGAGGATTTATTTTAAAACCGGTCATGATTATTTATTCAATCGAATACAATTAAATGTTATTTATAAAGCGCCCCAACAGTTATCTCACAGCGCTTTCCAAACAGAGCAGGTCAGACCCTACTCTGAAGTTATTTACAGAAGCCCAACAATTCTTTATATTCATAGTTTTCGAGCTTAAAGCCCTGCATTTCCACACTGAGAGCGTCTTGACTGATGTTCACTGCGTTTAACGGCCGAGATTTGTACCTCGCAGAACCCATCTCCGAAAACTCCCCACCAGCGTTTTATCTCGACATCAACAGGAAACTGTAAAGTTTCAAAGTGCCACTCTGAAGAGAGTTTTCAGACCCTGACTCATCTTTAATTGACCCCTGGGTGGAAGCGAGTCTGCTCACATTCATGTAAGTGTGTGTGTTTATCTGGGATTTAAAGTGTATATAGCCATTTCCTGGACAAAGTGGCTTCACTCCGGCTGCCGGGTTGGGAATTAGAGTGTCTCAGAGTTTAGTGTTTGACATTTGTACTCGTCTATTCAAATGGATGTTTTGACTCGGGCGAGGAACAGCTGAACTCTGTTTTTTTGTGGCTCTGGAGGAAGTTCAAGGGGACATCAAAAGGAGGATTTTCCGCTTGAGCTTATAGTTCCATCAGGAAAAACCCATCATTCTAAAGTAGATATGAGAAATTTGAAAGCTTTTTTTTTCCAATATGGAAGTTTAATCTGATAGATCATGAGCCTTATTATGCAAACCCATAAAATACTAACTAAGGCTCAAGATAAACACTATAAAACACTAATAAAATTTGTGTTGTGCTGTTTTAATGTGCTCTAAACATGGAGCATCTCAGCCCCCAGATATATATTAGAGGCATTAAAGTTAATTTCCAACCATTTTTGGGCTGTTCTCGGCAGACCAGGGTGAATGGAAAAAAAGAAAAGTTTAAAAGCTTTATTCTGTGAGTCTTCAGCAAGCTGATGTACGTCAAGGAAAAGGAAAAAAAAATTTGTCTCACATTTTGTGTACAAGACAATTCAAAGTGCTTCACATAGAGGATTCAATAAAGAAACAATCCTCAAAAAGTAAAAGTTTAAAAGCACAAACTAGAAACAAGTTAAACAAAAATGAATTAAGGAAGATGATTGATAAAAGAGATTAAAAGTGAAGAAGAAAAGTAGCTGCTCAGCTGTGCGTGGTCATCATTTTTCTGATGATCTCCTTCATGTTTCATCACACAGTTTCAAAGGGAGAGGACCTGATCAGCTCCAAACTGCTCCACACTCAAGCTTTGACTTGTTGATTTAAGTGGTAGATTTAAGCAGAATCTCTCAAAAGTTACTAATAAATCCACTATTTTTTAATGCAAAAAGCTTTTAACTTCCCAGGGCTTGTAGAGCCTGTTGAATGGAGCATCAAACACTGGATCAGTGTTCCTCTGGTCCATGAGGAGATACCTAAGATAAGACATTTACATGTTGATATGTCTTTCTTTGGTCAGCATTTCCACAAAGCTCTCCATTAGCAGAGTCCCACGGTGTCCCCTTTATTTTTCATCTGTGCTTCCCTTCACGTCCACATCCACTCCCAGACCCTCACAATGGTCTGCCTTGTTGACGCCCAGATGTTCTGCCACTATAGACATTTTTTCCTCCTCTTCAGCCTGTCATCTCATTACCATAACTCGCCAGACGTCGGACAGATAAGTCGTATTCGTGATAGATTTGATTCAAGCCAGACTGTGTGTGTTCTTCTCGTTTAGGTGGATTTTTAGTCTTGATCAAAGTTTAGTCGTGATCGATTGTCTAAATTTTGTAGGTTTGTTTTGGATCAAAGTCGTACTTCCATCCAAATCCAATCTTGTCTCGAGTGGTCTCACTGTCTTCACGACTACAAAGCACTGCCAGGTTCATCTTCCAACAGTGGATCACATTTATCTTGCTATTAGATCAAAAGAAGCGGATTATGCAAAAGTATTACGATGGCATAATTCCTGGTTGTCTGTTCACTGAGCAAAAAAAACCTTAATGATTCCAAAAGAACAAGGAGCGACTCAAATCTAAGCAACACTCGTTAAAATACACGTACAGTGCAGAATTAAAGAAGAAAAAACATTGTTTAAGCTCATCAAAAATGGACAAAAAAAAGAAAAAGATGAGCTGGAATCTTTTCATATTAATTTCCCATTTGGGTCACTTTGTCTCAGGCACACTCACAAGCAGTTACACACAAAAACTACAATGAAAACAAACAGTTAACCCACTTGTTTAAAGTTAAGGAAGCTGGGTCTTCCACCACATGTGTTTCCTGTATGTCAACCTGTACGTCACGTTTTGTTTTCCTGCCACAGTCCAGTTGGGTCCTTGTGAAGGATCCTCTATGGGAGCCATACATTTTCTGAGGTCCTGATGGGGTCTGGTTATCGTTAGTTTAGCAAAAAAAAAAAACAAACATCTGCAGTCACATCTGTAGGGTTGTTGGCATCAGAAATGAAAGCATTTGATTTCCTTATAAAGGACGATTCTGTATTTTATGTGAGGGTGGCAATCCCCAGTCACTGGCTTATTATGCAACATTAAGATAATAACACCAATTTAATGACTGGTTTTGCTGGTTTCAGCTTGTTTTATAAGCAGAAACCAGTTTATAGAAGCTAATAAGCATATTCACAAAATACCCTTGAATAATTGTAGAAGTAGTAAGAACAAGAGAGTTCCCAATTTAAAATTTGGTAATATAAGGCCCAATTAACAAAAGCATTAATACGTTAGAAAATGAAAAGGAAATGAAAAAGCTATGCATTTTTTTCATTACTTTTTATTTCCTTGCTCATGTATTTGTGTACATAGTGTACATTTTTTTCCATTCAGACAAAAGAAAAACAAGTTTTACTTTTATACAAATCTTTCTATTTCCCTTTCCGTTATTTTCAGTTTCTAATTATTAGAATAGAATACATCTTTTTCTTCCTCTTAATTTCTCTCATTGTTTTAAATACAGTGTTTCCTTTTTATATCTAAACAGTTATTCTTGATTCTGTTCGACTCTGGTTAAACTCAGTTTAGTCCTCTGAGACAGCGAGGGTTAAGACATGAAGTTAACTGGAATTTGCTCACATTACTCAGTTTAAACTGTAAATCAAAATCTGTTTCAAAAGAAAATTGAGGTGGGAAATAGACGTCATGCTTTCAGAATTCTCCCACAAGTTCAGTCTACAAGGTAAAAGTTCCGTTTGTAGGATTACATTTACCTCAACATCAGCTTCAAAACTTCATTTAAAGAAGCTGATTCTAAATTCAAACTGCTCTCAGAAGTATTCGTTTAATTATTTTATACAACCTATGTTTTTTTTTTTGTCTAATTTTTTTAAGGCTAACCATTTGATTGACATTTGTGACATTTATTCATTAAGCTAAAGTTTTAACAACAACATTTTTTATTTAATACGAAAGAACGCCATATAGAAAGTGTCCAGTAGAAAAGAAATAAACAAACAAAAAAACATAAAAACGGTTCTCCCACAAACATCCTGTTAACCCTTTAACCTCTAAGGCTAAAAAAGGGAAGCTGTCGAATTGTTGGAAGACAATTACGCAAACAACAAACACGGAAAAGATGATATCAAAGTAAAGCGTTTTTCCATTTTTTCATTGTTCGACCTGAGAAAAGTCACAGTTGGATCAAAAGTTCATCCCCCCAAAAAAATCTATGCGTTTTTATTGCACTTCTAGCAGGAAAATAAAAAAAACACTTGTAAAACTTTATCAGTTAAGTGCAGATATATTCTTTTATATTTCAAATAATAATAATAATCAGATAAGTATGACAACACTTCTTGTTTTAAAGGTAATTTACAAGAGGTTACAGGGTATTATTAGCATATGCTCTGTAGCAACACATGGCAATCATAGATATTATTATTAAATTAGGCAATCCTATCTCACTGATTTTCTAATTGTGAAGTGTTTTGTTCTGGGAAGAGTTGCACGAGGCCTTTTTAGGCTCCAGGGGGCGCTGTCTGGACTCTGATGAGCTTCAGGATCTGATGACACACGTGTTTGTGTTCTAGGATGGGCTTTAAAGCCCTTTTCACCTGGGCAAAACCCACATTACACAATTTAAAGATTTCTACATTTAGTTTTGGGTTGCTTTCAACAGTCTCATTTTCAAATTTTCCAAATTTTGTTTCAATTCCCTTCACACGTCCACAAAGCTAGAACAGGTCCTCCACCCATCACAGACCCCCAAAATTAATTAATTATCTATCTATCTATCTATCTATCTATCTATCTATCTATCTATCTATCTATCTATCTATCTATCTATCTATCTATCTATCTATCTATCTATCTATCTATCTATCT